TCAGGGTCAAGTATCATGTATCTCCTTCTTGTCAAATCTCTCTCTCTCTCCCCCCCCCTCTCTCTTTTTCTCTCTCTCTTCACTCTCCTTCTCTCTCCCTGTCTCTCTCACTCTATCTCTCTCTCCTTCTCTCACTCTCCCTTTATCTCTAAGTAAAGATAACAGACTGTCACATTGTGCTGGTTATCTCAGTTTCTCCATGAGATGAACACAGGAAATATCTATCAGTCCTAGTTTATTGATAGCCGCTCCATGCCCCCGCTTCTGTCATGGTTTGTGATTAGCCTCCTCAAGTTCCCACAAATGTCCTGGCTTTTTAAAATAAATTTTTAGGAACAGTCTCTTTAATTTTTTTCACTACTCCAGAGATTTGTGTGGATAACCTCTCAGTCTTCTCATTGCACTAATGCTTTGTGAATAGCCTCTCTAATTTGTCACTGTATGTTTAGTTTGTGAATAGCCTATTTATCTTCTCATTGTACTCATGGTTTGTGGACAGCCTCTGAGCCTTTGTGCTGATGCTTTGTGAATAACCTCTCTAATTTGTCACAATATTTTTGGTTTGTGAATAGCCTATATCTGTCTTCTCAATGTGGGTGGTTTGCTCCTTTTTTCCTATCAAACGTCTATCGTCCTGATCTCTCCTCCTTCTTTTTTTGTGTTTGTTACTCTTTTGTAACACCTCTAAGTGCACCATGTGTTTGTAAATAAGTGCACCCTCCGCTGATAGTGAATGCACCTGATGGTAGTTGTGTCTTTTTGCGTCTGGTCTGGTGTGGTTTGCTCCTTCTTTCCTATCAAACATCTATCGTCCTTATCTCCCCTTCTTCTATTTTATGTTTGTTACTCTCTTGTAACACCTCTTATCTTCTGGCGCTCATAATATGACCTTATGCAGTTGCGAGCGCCGTAAAACCTCTACTAAAACTAAACAATACTGAGAACATTTTGTGTTAAAACTGAGTGCACTTTTTGGTGTTGATGGTGAGTGCACCATGTGTTTGTAAATAAGTGCGCCCTCTGCTGATAGTGAATGCACTTAATTTTGTTTGTGTCTTTGTGCGTCTGGTCTACAGATGTTTGGTGGAACCATCCAGTCTATGGGCTCGAGCCGACATGCGGA